TTAGGATGGGTTATGATACCCGCAAATGATAGATGAGAACCTGAATGGGAAGATGGAAGTAAAAAGGGAAAGAAGGCATGAGTTTAGGACACTTGAGGAGGATTTGCCAACTGGGATGGGGATAGGGAGGCTTGTAGGAATCTGGGATTCCAATAATCCAAGGGAGGGATTATAGACGGTGTCTTTGAATTTGCTTGGCCCTAATTCAGGACTACCTACAACTTTTGAAGCCAAGATAATGTCTTACGTATACAACCCTTTTCAAACAATACACCATGAAATTTCATAGTAATAGGTGTAGACTTCTATTACACCAGGGTAAAACCACTTAAGTATAGAAAACCTGACTGCCTCATCTAAGGCATCATTCTCCTTGTTTACACAGTGACCTGGCAGAACAGGAAGATGTTAGCCCTCACAAGTGACTGAGGAATGGTTTTGATGGTGCCAGGGAAGTCTGTGGGACATGTTTTTCCAGCATAAGATTTATGTGGCCAGAGCTTCCAGGATATGACTCCACATGAACAACAGCCACGGGGCATTTTTAGTTATCCCAGAATGCTCCATTTGTGCATAAAGCATGCTGCTGATGTCCTGAAATTTATCTGAGTAATTCCCATGATCTAGGGCAGATGGGAAACCACAAATCAAAGGTTTCTACTCCTGGTTAGTGTCTCTGGTTTAAAAACACAAACTTGATAGTGGAGGATTAAGGATGACAAGAGGTTCCATGAATTGCCTTTCAATTATCTACAGTTTATGTAAAATCACATGAGCATTAATAACCAAGAAAGGGATAGTAAGCATTTGGGACTCAGTTATGAGCCAATAATGTAACTAAATTATTCCATGGAGCATCAGAGATGTACATCTTCTTAGTTAATACACAATCAACTCCAGCTCTCAAATCAAGAACTATCTTCTCAGGGAAGTTTTCTCTGGCACCTCAGGTCAGCCTTGAGCCCTTTTGACTTCTTACATGAAGCATTTAAAAAGTTTTTTATATTTTATAATTACAATTTTATGGGTGTCACTGATTAGTACCTTTCTTTGTCACCAGAATCACAACTCCCTGGGATCCAGGATATTTTCTGGTTTTCTCTCCCCGGGGCCTAGTACAGAGCTTGGTTGACCAAAGGTGCTCAACAAATGTAAAGTGAAAGCATGAAGAATAAACAAAAATAGGGTGGGGGACAGTGGGCCTCACAGTGTCTTGAGTGATAAACCGACTGAATAAATTCCATTCTAGCTTATGAACCTCGTAAGAGTCAGTACTACATGTCTAAAGGGCCTTGTTACTGGTGGCTAAGTGCAGACAGCATCAGTAAAGAATAAAAATGTTTATAAGAAAGAAAAGGACTATCAAGTAGTTGCATCATTTACATTTGGTTATTAAGTGCCCCTGAGGCAGTTCTATATAGGAGCACTTGGTGGGTTTGAACTGTCAACCATGTGGTTTGCAGTCCAGTGCTTGTCCTACAGCACCAAACCAGCACTCCATCATTTACATGGACCATTTACATGAAGCATCTAAAGGAAATAAATGAACAATTGAAGCTCAGGGGAAAAAAATACAAAGTAAGTTAAATTGTGTAGGCCATTTTGCCAGGTCAGAACAGGAGGGAAGAGGGAGGATTCTAGAGTGCTCTCAAGGGGTTTAGGATGACCTTTCACCTCTCACCTGGTTAACTCTATCATATAAAATAGCTCAACATTTTACCTGGTGTTCGACTTGTTCTTTCCCAGAACTGCAGGGAACTAGCTACAATCAACTTAATGCTAAGTAGTATTGTATCCAACACCCGCATCTTCCTAGGAAACTTTCCAAAGCAATTTTGACTATACTTGATTTTCTTCTGTATTGATTTTGAAATCAAAGTCTATGTAAGATACCAAAGTAAAATCAAAATCCATGCAAGATACAACTCCACTGTGCTTCCTAAGACCATAAATTGATAGTTACAGACTGTTGTTGTTAAGTCCCATCAAGTCAGTTCAGACTCACAGCACCCCTATACTGCAGGGGTGGAGAACGTCCAGTGTGCAGTCCTTCGAAATCATTTGGTCTGGCCTTGCCAAGGTAACCGCAGTTGCAGCCATCACACTGGTGGTGGTGGGGTACCGATTCAAAGCGACCCTTGAGGCTGTAAATCTTTATGGGAGCAGAAAACCTCACCTCTCTCCTGCAGAATGGCTAGTAGTTTCAAATTGCTGACCTAGAGTTTAACAGCCTGATTCATAAACACTATGCTACCAGAGTGTGGTGGTGGTTACGTGCTGTGGAGTCGGTTCTGACTTATAGTGACCGTGTACAGGGTTTCTGAGGCTGTTAATCTTTATGGGAGCAGAAAGCCTCATCTTTCTCCTGTGGAACAACTGGTAGTTTCAAACTGTTGACCTTAAGGTTAGCAGCCAGATTCATAAATACTATGCTACAGTGAGTTAATTAATTAAATGTTTGACCAAATATAGAAAGCTAATTTTTAAGTTGATAATTTTGTATGGCCTGTGAATGATGTGACAAATTTTGACAGAAAAAAGTTCCCCCACCCATGCTGTACAGGGTTTCCAAGGAGCGGCTAGTGGGTTTAAACTGCTGACCTTGTGGTTCAAGCTGACCTTATTGGTGGTTAGTGGTTATGTGCCATGGAGTCGGTTCTGACTCATAGTGACCCTGTACAGGGTTTCTGAGGCTGCAAATCTTTATGGGAGCAGAAAGCCTCATCTTTCTTCCATGGAACAGCTGGTAGTTTCGAACTGCTGACCTTGTGGTTCGCAGCCCGATTCATAACCACTACGTTACCAGAGCTCATAGTGCAGTGCTTCTCCTACAGCATCATACCAGGACTCCCTAGTTGATATTTTAGGCTGGCTTAGAAAGCTCAGAGATTTGAACTCACCAACTGCTCCATGGGAGATAGATGCGGCATTATGCTCTGTAAAGATTTACAGCCTCAGGAACTTTGATTTTCAAGTCAATACAGAGTTCTATAAGGTCACTTTGAGTCACAATAGACTCACTGCTATGCGTCAGTAGATGGCAATGGGTCTGGTTTTTATGGTTCACCCTTTCACCGGAAGGAAATACATATTCTTATAAAATGCAATCAAAGAACCTGGAAGATGAGTCAGGAGACCTTCTGGATACAGCTTCAGATCTAAGGTGTCTTGAGCTGCTTCTTGTCCCTTCCTACCTCATGTGAATCTCATACAGGTTTGATTAAAACTCAGAGCATGGATTGAGGATTGGGACTATTTGTGTCTACATAATTTAACTGTTGTTCAGAGCCATGGAGTCGGTTCCGACTCATAGTGACCGTGTATAAGGTTTCCGAGGAGCAGTTGGTAAGTTTGAACCACTGAGCTTCCGATTCAAACTGACCTTGTTGTCTAGTAATTAGCCTACAGCGCCATACCTCTAAAAATTAACACCACCTGTGTCAACCTAATTTAACTATTTGTTCCAGGAAATTCATGCCTAGGAATGAAGGCTGTAAAACAATAAGTAGTTTCACTCTTTGCTGTAGAAAATTCCTACAAAACAAATTTTCCTGGCAAACAATTTGTTCATCTAGGAAAACAATATGCTAATCAAATGATGAGTTACTTATAAAAACTCGCTTCAAGACCCTTGTCTTACTGTATCATCCATCTTGAACTCCTACGTCACAAATTTCACCCAAATATAATTAGTTCACTGCCTTAATAAACACAGTTTAAACCATTTGAGCCTAGACATCAAAACCCTATCAATATTCTTTCCTGGCTTTGACACTACTGAGATTGTCCTAGTGATATTCTCTCTACTGTGGTAGGTTTAATGAACCTGGATTTGCTTTATCAACAGGCCATTTTGATGCATTTTTGTGGAGTTGACAACCTACACAATTAATCAGTTTTGGTTTCTTGCAAATAGGAAGCATATAGATAAAAGCTGATACATCCTTACAGTCCTTAAAGATTGAGATAATTATTAAATAGATGATTTTCTTCAGCAATACAGTTAAAGTTCCTCTGCACATCTTCTCCTTTGAAAAAAAAAGACACAGGGTTGGAACATCTTCCAGTGACAGATTCCAAATGAAGTTTTTATCTCCATTTTTCTATGTTTATTACATGAGTGTGAATTTTTCAAAATTTCAACAATGATTATGTATAATATGGGGAGGAAGAGAAAGGAAACAAAGCAAAAAGCCAATTAGAAATGACCACTGAATCTTAATTTAAAATGAAAGCACATACATACACACCTACAACTAGAATGCAAAATACCCTTTTAAAATCTTAGCTCATTAAGCTATCAAGGTAATTTTATCTTGCTAGCATTAATATGGTACTGTAGGATAAGCACTGGACTGCTAACCATAAGGTTGGTGGTTCAAAACCCACCAGTCGCTCCTTGGAAACCTTATACAGGTATGCTATGAGTTGGAACCAACTCAGCAACACTTAACAACAACAAGTATTAAATATAAACAACAAAAAATGTACACTTTTGACCAGGTTGTCCTATTTCTCCAAAATTTTATTTCTGGGTGCTTGACAAAATACAGATTCTCAGGCTTCTCCCTAGAAAATAAACTTCAATTAGTCGAGGGTAAGGCCCAGGACTCTTTGTTTTTTGTTTTTGTGAGCACTCAAATGATTCCTACAATCAAGCAAAGGGTAGAACACATGGGACTGCAGCATCAACTCTCTGGAATGCGAAGTCTGGATTTAAAACAACTTCCACAATAAAGCTGCTCAACTGAAGAAGAAAACGCACAGCGGTTCACAAATAAAGGTTGCCTCGCTGGGCCCGAGTCCTATGCTTTTTGTAATTTCAGTATGGAAGCAGTGAATTGCAAAAAAGCCGACCCTATTGTGAATCACGATAACCACTCGCAGCTGGGCTCAGGCGAGCGCCCTTAGAAGGCGCTGGCAGAGAGCAGTGTCTCCCTCTGCAGCCAGCACTGGAAGCAAGATGACAATTAGAGATTGCAGTCAAGGCTTCCTTTTACCTTAAAGAAACTTCCTCGCTTGTCCAGAACGCGGGTGCCCATTGTCCACGCTGACATTTCCCCCAGCAAGGCTCTACTGCATGCCTGGGAGTCCTGAAGGTAGAGACATTTTTAATGGTTAGTCCAGCCTGTAGGAAATTCCTTTCTAAGCCACAGAACACTCACAACAACAGTCCTGCCAAGATCTTTTTCCGTCAACAACACAGTGCCATTTATTTCCCACCAAAGCCCTGCATCTCCCTTTGGTCTGTGATTTCCTGCCTCAGACGGTGGGTGTCCCACCTCACTGTGTCCCTCTCTCCCCCGCCCCTACTTTTCCAGCTGACGTAGAAGGTTCCAGCACTGCCTAAAGCATAATGATTGCTTTGTGTGTTTGCTTGACCTCCTGCTGAAGTCCAAAAGGGACAAATATTAGATGTTGCCACAATCTGCTCCAAAAGCTTATAGATTTAATAGGACTGATCAGAGAGGGTAGAGGAAGAATGAAGCACTGTATGTCCCAGGAAGTCCTGCTGGAATGGAATGAGGTCATCATGAGCTCTGCTGGCCCTCCCTCCAGGCAAGGTCAGCTGAAGGGCACTGGGAAATAAATCACTCTATTTTCTCTTTAGAAATCAGGAAGATTTGGATTAAATTCTGTGTCACTATTTACAGAGATCAATTCTAAATGTTGCCATTGTTAGGTGTGGTGGAGTCAGTTAGACTCATAGCAACTCTATGTACAGTCAAAGGAGATACTGCCCAGTCAGTCCTGTACCATCCTCACAACTGTGCTAGGTTTGAATTCATTGTTGTAGTAACTGTTGTCAACCCACCTGACCTGTAAATAGCTGCCTGATAATCCACAGGGGGCAAATGGGGGCACAGAGGATGCGTGCTGGGATGTAGAAGGAAATATAAAGGCAGGATAACTATAGTTCTGAATCCTAACTGTGGCTATTTGAGCTTGAATCTCCCTCACCCAAATCTAAAATTCCAATAATCTTCCCATCTTGACCACAAAGCCTTCCATGTTCACTTCCAAGTTAAACATATACACAGCTGTATAGCTGGCCCCACCCAGGCTGGTGTGTGTTGTGGGGACTTGGGGAGCCTTTCCAAACCCTTCCGGTCCCTTGATGCAGCACTGAGGTCAATACCACACCACTGTCAACTCTGGTGGTTCCTTCTGCGCCTGGTAATCTGCACTGGATATCGCCCTCAAAAGTAGAAGGGCAATGATTATTAAACACAGTACCCTTGACATTGTTGTTGTTAAATGCGGTCAGTCGACTCTGACACATAGAAACCCTGTATAGGGCTTCCGAGGCACAGCTGGTAGGTTTGAACTGCCAACCTGTGGTTCGCAGTGCAATGCTGATCCTACAGTGGCTCCTACCAGGAGTCCACACTTGACATTAAGAAAGATACAATAAAAGTGGCTCAGCTATGAATGTGGGGGCATTGGGGTTGCCTCATTATTCACAGGGTGAAAGGGAGAAAAAGGGATGTTGAAGGCATAAATAGAAATGTTTCAGTAAGTGGGCAAACAGAACCTGTAGAGTGCTGAAGAAGCAGGACTGAGTGAGTCTGTGCAGATGCCTTTCCATTCACGTGCATAGTGGACCATGAAGTCTCCTTTAGGAAAAAATAGTAACAGAGCGTATGTCTCCCTTTCTCCTGAAAGCTTCATCTATTTTTATGTCATTTCTCCAGGGTTTTACCACTTTAAAGATTCCAAGGTATCTCTGAACTTCTTTCCATGATTCCATTGGGATGAAAGCCAACACTCCAAACCTCTCCAGTGGAGATAGAGGCTGGGGTGGGAGGGCTTCTCAGTGGATTCTGCTTTGTTGGAGAAGGTTTTCGGGCTCAGCTTCTGAATGGAGCTCAAATTTGGGCCCCTTGAAGACATCACTGATGAGCAAAGTCTGAAGACTTAAACAACTAACTCCAAAAAGAAAACACAGTACTGTGCTCAGAATAAAGACCAAATAGGAGCCATCCTGTAACTTCAGGAGCAAACAACGAACTGCTTATGCACAAAAACACTGAAATAAAAAAGAATGCACTTCTTTAAAACCGGCATTCTTTTTCTTCCAGATGTTTTCTCAGCAAGGGATTTGATGTCAGACAGCAGTTATAAGGAGCTGCCAAGAGCCAAGACTTCATTCCTTACCAGCCCTGATCTCTTTGTTCTGTGCAGAGATTCTTAGTATACAAACCCTTTTTGATGAGCCCCAACAGGCAAAGAATTTGCCTTTAGCAATACAGCGGTTTGGATTCCAGAATTTCTATTTGACTTTAATTAATGGTCTGAAAAATGCATGTGTGCATTTAACTTGAAACATCCTCAACTAAACATCCAGTTTGCATTCCATGAAGAGCAGCAAATCCAGAACATTTCCTCCAGAAGGTGTAGGCTGCACCTTCCTCCTTCAGAAGGTTGTTACAAGGATGGAGATGACAGCAGATGATAATGTAATGCCACAGCAAGTTAAGTGACAAGCAGGTATGCAACACAGAATGGGACTACAAACAGTCCATTCAGCCAAAGGGATACTGTTGTTATTGTTGTTAAGTGCCTTCGAGTCAATTCCGACTCATAGTGACTCTGTAGAAGGTTCCCAAGAAGCGGATGGTGAATTTGAACCGCCGACCTTGAGGTTAAACCAACCTTCCAGTCCAGTGTATTAACACACAATTAACCCATACTAGTTGCTAGTTAACCCATACTAGTTGCTAAAGAGTCAATTCTGACTTATGGGGACCCATGTGTGTCAGAGAACTGTTCCCTAGAGTTTTCAAGGCTGTAACATTTTGGAAGCAGGCTTTTCTTCTGGGGTGCCTCTGGGTGAATTTGAACCGTTAACCTTTTGGTCAGTAGTCAAGTGCTTCACTGTTTGCACCACCCAGGGGTAATACCTAGGTTATTGTGTTTTTAAATAATAAACTTTTTAAAAGCAAGCCCTTAAGGTCCCCCAAAGAAGTTTTAAGATCTAACCTGTTATAGCAAAAGCTTCCTTCCTCCATCATAACTTCTAAAATGTTGGCCCAGTATTGACAAAATTTAATATAGTTTTTTTAAAAACAACAACTTCTCCTTTCTACTCATGGTCCCCCACCCCCCTTTTCCTGTCCTAGGCGCTACTCCAGCAGTTACATCCTAAAACCACCCTGATAGTAGGCTGGATTGAGAAACAATGTTGTTGTTAAGTGCTGTCAAGTCGGTTCTGATTCATATCGATCCTGTACAGGATTTCCAAGGAACGACTGGTGAATTTGAACCACCAACCACCTTGTGGTTCAAACCGACTTTGCAGTTTAGTGCATACCACCACACCAGGATTAAGTACCATAATATAAAAGGCTGTAATATTTCTCCAGACTTGTACCAGTAGTGACTCTAGTCCTTCCTGGCTTTCCTGAAGAGAAAATGTATTCTTAAAAAAAGAGCCCAGGGTGTCCAGTGCTAATTTAACCATAGAAGGAAAAAAAAAAGGCCCTGACAAGAGCTAATGGACACTCAAGAGCTGCCAGGCCTTTTCAGTAACACCACTAAAGGACTGTAAACCCAGCTCGTCCATTTGTTGGGCACAGGGCAAAGCCAGGAAGGGAACTTCATCCACTTGGGAACTCCACGATCCTAATTTGATAGTAAACCTAGTATGCGGCTGGTCCTGAAAAAGCAGCTGTGGAGATGAAGGTGTATCCTTAGGAGTATACTCTGAAACACCTGGCCAGCCCCCAGGCCAGATGCTCACAGATGGGTCCAGGTCAACCCTCCAACCAATTCTGCTGGGAGTCAACCACAGGCTGGCAAATGGGATTTGACCAGAGTCCTGATTTCCAGCTCCTACTGTGTGGCGCTGTGGGTTAATGCGTCAGACTGCAAAGCCATTTGAACTGTAAGGTTGTCAGTTCAAGCTCACCAGCTGCTCCTTGGAAACCCTATACAGGGTAGCTATGGGTTGGAACCGACTCGATGGCACTTAACAACAACAACAACAACAACCATGAATGGTGTGCTGGTAGCATAGTGCTTATGCTTTGGGTTGCTAACTGAAAGTCAGCAGCTGAAATCTACCAGCTGCTCCATGGTCGAAAGATGAGGTGTTCTGCTCCTGTAAAGATTTACTGCCTCAGAAACCTACACAAGGGTGCTGTGAGTCAGAACCTACTCCACGGCACACAGCCACCAACCACCATCAATGTTGAACCGGAACAGGTGGTTCAACTCTCCCTGGCAGTGGGCCAGATCTTGGCAAGCTGACCATCTGAGATCCTTTTTAAAAGGTGACTCAAGTGACCATCTGGCCTGAAGAGCTGAGAGGATGGGACAGGCAGAGTTACCTTGCATCCCACGTACAGGAAAGACAAGACCCTGGTAAGTACCGACAGGGTTGTGGCAGGGCCAGGCAGAACGTGTGTGAAGAGGGCAGAAACTGGAGAGGTTCATGTGGGAGACACCAGTTCTATTCCTACCTACTACACCTCATGCCTAGGTTTCAGCAGAGCTGCTATACAATGATGGAGTAGTAAGAAAGGCCTGGTGATTCATTTCTGAAGATCAGTCAATGAAATCTCTATGAACCAGGAGGTTACTGCTTATGGAACACTGACTTTTAATTTACAGCGAGGGAAAATCACATTGATTAAGGGTAGAATTGCACCATCCATTAATATAATTGCTTTCAATAAATCATACACATGTAAAAAGTTGATTGGCCAAAGGTGTGTGATATTTACAATAATGAAAAAAAAAAAAGGAGTGGCTACAGAGACTGCTTGTTGTTGTCATGTGCCATGGAGTCGGTTCCAACTCATAGCCACCCTGTACAGGGTTTCCGAGGCTGTAAATCTTTACGAGAGCAGAAAGCCTCATCTTTCTCCTGTGAAACAGCTGGTAGTTTCGAACTGCTGACCCTGAGCTTCACAGCCCAATTCGTAACCACTACGCTACCAGAGCTCCTTGCAGAGACTGCTTGTTGTTGTTGTTAAGTGCCGTCGAGTCGGATCCGACCCATAGAGACCCTATACAGGGTTTCCGAGGAGCGACTGGTGAGCTTGAACCGCCGACCTTGCAGTTCAAATGGCTTTGCAGTATGGCACATTAACCCACAGTGCCACACCAGGACTCCTTAGGCACCACCAAATACCTCATGGGATTTGTGTCCATGGTTTAGAGCCATGTTTTCATGGGACATCCCAGTTAACTAGGCTAATTTATATTGTGTTGAGTGTTTCTGTTTTGCCTCCTAGTTCACTGCATTGTGCCTAGGATATTATAAGCTTGCAAATGGCCATTCAAGGTATAATTTATCTATAGACACCTGAGCAACAGAGGAAGCAGGAGAGTCAGGAATAGGAAAAAAAAAAATGGACTGTGTGGCTCTTTGCCTCCGTGAACAACTGCCCCTTTGCCATGAGACCAGGAGAACTATGAAGGTGACTGGCTCTCGTTACTGAACATTTTTATCAGGAGACATATTCAGAACCAAATTTGCAGTAGTTATGGAATCCAGAGTTCCGGGATCCATGAAGGCTGGATGAAGCTCTGAACTACCCTGAGATAAACCTGAAACCTTAACCCAACACTATGTCTTGAGTCATCTTAAAATCATACAATTATTTATCTTAACTAGTAAAGAATGTCTGGTTTGAGCATTGTGCTCTTTCCAGATCTATTTATAAGGGATCAAACAGACACCAGCAACTCTTAAGATTAGATAGGAAACTTAGGGAGTAGTGAGTTTATGTTAATGGGGGAGGAACAACTTGGAAAAGGATAGTAAGAATGACTGCAGAATTTAAAGAATGTCCCTAAATTACACATGTAGAAATTGTTGAATATGAAATTGTGCATATGCTCAACAACAATGAAAATAAAAGAAATTATTTAAAAAAACACAAAAAACCTATGGATCACATGACCTGAAAATGAAACAGTTTATTCAAGTCATGGTTTCTCACACAGTCAAGCTGTGTGATACTTGGCAGAAAAACTCCCTAATCACTATATTTTTTATTTTTCCTTTTTCTTTCTAGCACTTGCTTATGATAAGACAAAGTGGACTACATACAGTTTTCAGTTAAACATGACCTAGAATTACAGTTACTTTACAGCCAAGGCCAAGAACATAAGAGAAAGAGACTCACCCTGCAGAGTTGTCAGTTTGAGAAGTGACTTCAACTATTTGCTGGCTCTGTAGGTTAATGTGACGGACTGAAAAGTTGGTTTGAACTGCAAGGTTGGCAGTTCAAGCTCAGCCGTTCCTCAGAAACCCTATACAGGGTCACTATGAGTCAGAACCGACTCGACAACACTTAACAACAACAACAACAACAAGGCTCCAAGAGTCCTAGTGTGGCACTGTGGATTAATGCGACAGACTGCAAAGCTGTTTGAACGGCTTGGTTGGCAGTTCAAGCTCACCAGCTGCTCCTAGGAAACCCTACACAGGGTTGCGATGGGTCAGAACCGACTCGATGGCACTTAACAATAACAACAACAACAACAAACAAGGCTCCCACAGCTCATCTTCTCCCACTTCAGTGTTTTTTGGCTCTACCACATGAGGTAGAAGCAAATGAGGGCAGTAGGGTTCAGAGATGGTCTTTGAAAATTACCATAATTATCTTTATGCAAATGTGAAATTTACAAGTTGGATAGAAAAAAAAAATTATCCCAGGTTCTAGTTTGATATCCAGTTTATGCTTTTGTTTCTTTCTTCTTATTATTATTTTAGTACTTGTGTCACTAGTTTTCCCTTGATTAAGAGTCAAACTTTTCTGAACATGCAAGTTTTTAACTGAAAAGAAAAACTAACAAGAAGTCAGAAATCAGAGAGGAAGCACTGTTTTCCTGAATGTCACTCTGGGCTTTTGTGTATAATTAGAGACAATGTTCAGTGTGGGAGTATCCGCTTTATCAAGAATAACCTAGCAAAATTAAATATATTTCAAAGCAATGAGTTCATGGGTGGAACTGTGTCATTTCTGTTGTGTACAGGACTGGTTGCTCAAAGCCTAATCCCAGTGGAAACCCTGAGACAAAGATTTATTTCAAGTAGTCTATTAGAGGTGATTATAGGTAGGAGATTGGAGTGTGAGACAAAGCACGGAAGACAACCAACACAGGTGCACCAAGGTCAGCAGTTCGAAACTACCAGCCATTTCATGGGCAAAAGATGAGGTTTTGTGCTCCTGTAAAGATTTATAACCTAGGAAACGCTATACAGGGTCACTATGAGTCGGAACCAACTCCATGGCACACCACCACCATCATTATCACACAAGTTGGACTCCTGGTGTGGCGCTGGAGAATCAGCACTGGACTGTGAACCACAAGGTCAGTAGTTCAAACCCACCAGCTGTTTCTTGGAAACCCTATATATGGTCGCTATGAGTCAGAATTGACTCTATAGCACTTGTCAACAAGAATAATCATACAAGTTACCACTTCATTCCCTTTGGGGAACTCTGGGAGCCCCTGTAGACTCACCTTAGAGTTATCCTAACTGAGGGAGGTAGAAAATGAGATACTTCCTATCAGTTAATGTTTGAGGGTTTTCCCAGGGGGGTTTAGCTCACCAACATCCAACCACCCCTTGTGTGAGCAGAGTGGGTTATGATGGCCAAAGATAGACCTTAGGAAAAACTAGCAATTGGAAATTTGCCAGCATGCATGAGCATGTTAAGTACCCAGGAGATAGGGGAAGGATTTGATAGTGTCTGCTACAATTGGCAACTTTAGCTATTCAGAGAATTTTGCATAAGATTTAGATATCTAGCTTCTCTGGACACACTGAACTATCCTTCCTGTATGGCAACTATGAGTAGACTAAATGCTCTCTTTAGAGAGGACCCAGGCCCTCCAGTTTCTGCCCTCCTCACGCATGTCCTGCTTGGCGCAGCCACAACCCCTGTAGGCACCTACCCTGGTCTTTCCCCTTACCTGAGATGCAAGGTAACTCTGCCTGCCACATCCTTTGAACTCTTCAGGCAGGGGGTGGTCACCTGATTCAAGGTCAGTCATTCATTGGCTGTTTTTCTAAGAAACAGGCTCTTGTGCTCAAGAATTTGGATTGAAAGTCATAGAGTAAGAGCTTGCCCAAAGCTCGATTGGAGCCAGATAACTCAGGGAGCAGATATGCTGAAGCTCTGAGACGACAAGGGAGAAAAAGAAATGAGAGAAACTTGTTCTCAGACTACTGGCTTAACAGTTCCCACCAGACATGGCAGGACCAAAAGTTCAGTGCATCCTGGATCCCGAGAATAAGCATCCCCCCTTTATTTGAGCTGCTTAGGTGAGTTTCTGTTCCTTTCCATTAAATAACCTTTGATGAGAATAGCTTCAAAGGGACCACTGTGGGCTCTCAGAAGCAGGTAGAACTCTAAGATACTTATTTTCACCTTATTAGATGTCTAATAAAAGATCATAGAATGAAGTAAAGCATATATTG